GAGAAAAAACTCTGCCTGGGAGGGCGGGAGGGAACTTCTCCTGCTTCCTGAGGGGGTGGGACGAGGCTAGAGGGGAAGCCCAGAGGAAGAGCTTCCAACTGGAATTCTGTCCTCTATTCCTTATGGTGGCTGTGGGGTAGGGTAGAGGGCATCTCCCAGAGGCCACACCGTTGCCTGGGAGGCCTTTTGTTGATCAGGGCACTGGAGGAATCACCCTCCAGCCTCTGTTTCTTTGGGCTGCACAAAGTTCACCAGGTCAGAACTGGAGCTGGGCTCCGGGGCTGTGGCCCTAGCTGGAATGTGCCACAATAGAGCCTGCCTGGGTCTGAGCCTCCAGATATCCAGGTGTCCTTTCAGGGCAGCCTTCTGGCCTTGGGTGTTAATCCTCCCGGGACTGTTTGTCCTGGATTGAAGCCCCCTTAGGGTCGGATAGGATGGGGAAGTGCTAGGATGAGCTTGAAGACTCCCCAACCAAGGGTCCCTGGATAAAACAGGAAATAACTCAGATTTGAATCCCACTGCCAGTGAAACCCTATCCGTAACTCTCAGTAACTATGAGGGAATCACCCTCACCATTTTAATGCTGAATCTGCAAGGTGCTTTCAGGACCTCCAAAAGGAGATGCAGGGGTGGGGCTTCACCGGCAGCTTTTACCTCCCGCCTGGAAGCTTCTCTCAACTGTGTGGGGAGCTGTGACTCACGGCTCCCACCTCTCTGGTCCTGGAAGGTCATCTGAGAGTGTTGCCTTGAGGCCTAGAGCTCCCCTTTATCTAAATTGAAAAGGAGATGGAAACTTAGATAAGAGTAGAAGGTTCTGTAGTCTTGGGCAGCAAGCTCCTCTCTAGAAGGGAAGCTGGCAGAAATGCAAATCCAGATGAACACAGCCTCATGCGAGTGACCTCCAGACTTTGGGGATTGCTAATAACCATTTTCTTTGAGGACTGAGCATCAAGCCCAACGTATCCCTGCAGCTGCTTTAGTGGGTCCTGACCTCCCATCCCAAAACCTCCAAGAAAAAGGTGGTCTCTGTGCTGGGAGCAGGGGGGGCGTGATGAGGAAGAAGGCGAAAGGAAGAGTGTTGAAAAAACAGAATTAACACTAAGAATGGAATAAAAGGGGAAAAAGCTGTATTGAAGCAAAGCAGGGGCAGAGGGAGCCCGTGAGCTGAGTGGGCCGGGGACTGGGAGAAGGAGTGAGGAGGCAGGGCCGGCATGCCTCTGCTGCTGGCCAGAGCTCTTTTCACATTGTGCTACTGTCTGCACCTGTCACTAGCAGTGCAATGTTAAAAGGGCATTGGCCGTGTAGTGCTACCCAGCGCTGGCTGCCTCCTCAGCATTGCAATTTCCTCTCCCATCTGGGCACCAGTCAGCTACCCTGGTGGGAATCTGGGAAACCTCACTTGATGGTTATACTAATAGCTCACATTTATGGAGCTACTTCTGTGTGCCTTGTTTGTGATAGACACTGCCTCTGTTACTGTAAACCCTAATAACTTCTTGGGAGGTAACAGCCCATTTTATGGATGAAAAAACTGAGGGTTGGAAAGGTTTAAACAGTTTGGCTAAGACTGTGTAGCTCTTAGGTTGCAAAGCCTAGATACAACCCTGTTTTAAGTCTTGACAGCTCACTCATCTTTTTGTAGACCCATCTGGAGAGATCTGAGTAGGTTCTTTAAACTGGGAGATGTCCTGAGCTGAGGGATGGAAGGTTTTGATGCCATCTGCTGGTTGTATGAGGGTATCATCCAAAGCCTCAAGCCTTTAAGGACCACAAGTGGTGGCAACTCCTAGGCTAAGAAGGATAAGCGTTCCCAGACTCAGCCTGGAATGGAGAGTGAGTGGGAAAAGATCAGGAGAATCACTATTAGGAACAGAGTAGGCCTACTTGAGAAAAAAAGGAATGCACCAGAAAGGAAAAGGGGTTAACTCAAAAGGATTGCTCCCCAGGGAAAAGGACCTGTGTGCTCCTGGCATCCCATACCTGCAGCTCCCTCCTAAATCCACTTGCCTTTCTCTGCACCACTCCCTTTTGGTCACCGGGTGTTTGATGATAATGCTGCTTGAGGGCACACCTGTCTGGGCATCCAAGATTTGGACAGCATTGCCCATGACTTAATTTTAGAGATTAATAGAATCCCTTGAATCAGCCCACAGAATGATTCTTCCAGGACCAATTACAAGGAAATTGAGGCCGGGTGCGGTGGCTCATGCCTGTAATCCCAGCACTTTGGGAGGCCGAGGCAGGTGGATCACCTGAGGTCAGGTGTTCAAGACCAGCCTGGCCAACATGGTGAAACCCTGCATCTGCTAAAAACACAAAAATTATCCAGGCGTGGCGATGCACGCCTGTACTCTGAGCTACTCGGATGGCTGAGGCAGGAGAATCTCTTGAATGAATCTGGGAGGCGGAGGTTGCAGTGAGCTGAGATTGTGCCACTGCACTCCACCCTGGGCAATGGAGCAAGACTCCATCTCAAAAAAAAAAAAAAGACAGAAATTTGAGAGCAACGACTCCGCCATTTACTTCTCTGTCTCCCACAGCGCCTAATAGGCTTAATTAGAACATGTTAAAATAAATTGAATGAGAGGAATATTTGGGGAGCTTCTTTAAGAAGGCAGCTAGTTTGTGCCTGGTTTTCAAGAGCAGAGGTTGGGACTTGAGAAATCTTTCTAAACTTTGGTGCAAGAAGTGGGTCCAAGAGGGATAGGGTTTTGAGGACCTCTGCTGAACCCCTAGAGGGGTCTTGGCATCACTAGGCACGCAGAAACCGAAAGATAGGTCAGGCTACCCAAAGGCCTTAGTTGGGGGATGTTGGACATTTCTCCATGGCTTGCCTTTTTCCCTTCGCCTTTTGCTTATGCGCCTTCCAGTTCTAGTCCTCCTTCCTCCTGCCCAGACATCCTCTCCGTTTTTTGTTCTTTTGTTTTTTTTTTAAAGACAGAATCTCGCTGTGTCGCCCAGGCTGGAGTGCAGTGGCATGATCTCGGCCCACTGCAGCCTCTGCCTCATGGGTTCAAGTGATTCTCCTGCCTCAGCCTCCTGAGTAGCTGGGATTACAGGCATGCGCCACCACGCCTGGCTAATTTTTGTTGCCCAAGCTGGTCTCAAACTCTTGGACTCAAGTGATTGCCCACCTCAGCCTCCCAAAATTCTGGGATTATGGGTGTGAGCCACTGTGCCCTTCCATATGTTCCTTACTTTCTTCAGTCTATTAAAACTTCTATTTGAGCCTCTTATCTGGGCACAAATAGCCCTTTGATACTGTCACTCCACTTTAAAAGAACAATAATTTTTCCATATTTCCCTAATACCATTGGGATAAAATCTAGATTCCCTAAATAGTTTATGGTTCCTGCTTGTCTTTCATCTCATCTCTCACCCACTTGCTGCCTATACTCCAGCCACAGGCAGTTTTTTTTTAAGGAGACAAAGTTTTGCTCTGTTCCCCAGGCTGGAGTGCAGTGGCGTGATCATGGCTCACTGCAGCCTCAGCCTCCTGGGCTCAAGTGATCCTCCTGCTCAGCCTCCTGAGTAATCGAGACTACAGGTGCAGGTATGGCTCTTTTTATTGAGACAAGATCTTGCTATATTGCCCAGTCTAAACTCAAACTTTGGCCTCAAGCCTCCAGGCTTGGCTTCCTAAAGTGCTGGAATTAAGGAATGAGCCACTGCTTTCAGCCCACAAGAAACTTTTATTTCCTTCAACTAACTAAACATAAGTTACCCGACACATACAGTTCCCTCTGTTTGAAATACTTCTATCACTTTTGCCTTTGCCACCTAACTTCTTATCTTTCAAATGCCATCGTAGTCATCACTTTTGTGAAGCCTTCCTTAACTCCTTAAATCTAGGCTGAGTTCCTTTCCTATGAGCTCCCAAGCTTCCTCTGCGTCCCTGCTTAGAGCCATTATTATCCTCTTCTACAGGGATTGCCTGGTTATTGCATCTCCTACTGGACGGAAAGCTCAAGGAAGTCAGGCCACAGCTGCCTTATCTTCACCATGTGCTTAACATCCAGTGCTTAACACAATGCCTGGCAAGTAACAGGTGCTTTATAAATATTTGGAGTATTAATGAATGAATCTGGAAAGAATATTATAGCTTACCAAAAAGTGATCTTTATGATGTATATGGTCTCCCCTGTAACTGTTGGGCACCCAACAACAGTAGGGATTTCATGTCACTGCCAATAAAATGCCCCTCGGGCCACATGGTGGCATTGACGTTGCAGTATTGAGCTTTTCTTTTTGAGACGGAGTCTCGCCCTGTTGCCAGGCTGGAGTGCAACAGCATGATCTTGGCTCACTGTAACCTCTACCTCCTGGGTTCAAGCGATTCTCCTGCCTCAGCCTCCCGAGTAGCTGGGAGTACAGGCACGTGCCATCATGCCTGGCTAATTTTTGAATTTTTAGTAGAAACGGTTTCACCATGTTGGTCAGGCTGGTCTCAAACTCCTGACATCAGGTGATTCACCAGCCTTGGCCTCTCAAAGTGCTGGAATTGCAGGCGTGAGCCATCGTGCCCGGCCTAATTTTTGAGCTATTTTGTTTCACTTCCCATCAACTGCCAGGGCAGCACTTTGGCTGATTGATTTTCCTTTTAGCCTTAAGTGTGCCCATGAACTGACCAGAACATTACAGAACCGGGCTGAAAAGCCATGGGACTCAAGAAAATCCTTATTCTGAGATGAGCCTCTTTCAGTTGCCCAATCCTGGATCTAGGCAAAAATGGACTTACTGTCAGGGGTGCCAGCAGACAGAAGGGGTTTTGGATGCTCTCGATGGAATAGCTCACAAAACCCACCCCTCTTACTAGGCAAAACCTCACCTGAAGTTTATCCTCTGGTAAAAGCTCAAGCAGTAGTCTTGCCATGGATACGGCAACTGCTGCCCCCTAGTGGTCTAAAGGGACAGGCCCGGGTGGGTGGGTGGGGGGTTGTGTGTGACGGGGACAGTTATGGGTACATGCATGGGGAAAGAAAGTCAGAGGACAGGTTGCCTCAAGTTGCTTTTTCCCTTTTTATTAAAAATAGACCCAAGCACTTTATGTATCATACAAAAGTTTCATTCGCTGGTGGCAGCCACGGGAAAGACTGGACCCGTAGCACTGATTTTCCACCTCCCCTCCAGGGGACTGGGTCCCAGGAGCAGTGACTGGGCCTCAGAGAAAGCCCATAAAGACTGCTTGTTCTGGAAGCAGCCGACTGGGGGTGGGGGCTGTTCCGCGTGCAGCTGTCCCTACCCCATCCAACGGCAAAAGTTAGATATTCGAAAGTGCCTCTTCAGTGCCAAGATAAACTGACAAGTGGAGTGAAATGGAAACCCCTTTGATTCTTTTACTATTTCCCAGGGCCTGGGATTTGAGTTTTCCCTGCACATGAGTCCTTTTCCCTACAAATAGGGGTGGGAAACTTCATCCTCAGAGACTCTGGTCTGTTCTGCTGCCTGAGACCAAAATTTCACTCCAACCCAAGCTTTTTCTCATTTGCTATTCTGTGGTCCGCGATCTACTAGCCCCGTGACCCAAGGTTTGTCCTCTGTTCACTCAAAAAGAGGTGGAGCAAAAACGGATTCCTCCCACAATCTCTGCCTGAGTCTACGCCCTGCCATTGCCTCAACTTTCAGGAACTTGGGAACAGAAGGACCCACAACCAACCCTTTCCCCCAGTTCTGTCTCTCCCTGACTGCTGCCCACTCCTGAGCCTTAACACCCCTGGGGTACACCCAGACCCCTGTTCCAAAGGGTGCCTGGTAGTGGATATGGTGGAGACAGGGGAGGGGTTGGTTGGAGCCAGGTTTCCCCCAGGGGTGGGGCAGTACTCATGCTGGTATAGACTGCTTGGCAGGGCCGTGGGGAGGGAGGGGCATGCGGAGGAAGGGCACAGCCTGCCTGAGCCCCTCAGTCCCAGCCGTTGTCCTTCACCATGTGTGACATTTCAATGATATATTTCCCTTCCTTGTACTTCTGGCTCGTCTCAAAAGCTTGTTCCTGGTGAAGGAGAAAGCAGTGATTGTAGGACAAAGCAGTTTCCTTCCAGGCCCCACTGCCACCTGTATGGCCCCCACCCCAAGGCTCATCCACCTAGTCCAACCCAGTAACTAGTTCTTTCTTTGCTCCTTGGACCTTGCAAGGACCTGATGTGGTCACTGGGGCTTGAAGGGCCGTGGGGACTTCCACTTTAGAGGGTGACCCTCTTCCTCAGGTACTTACATATTTCCAGCCCAGTGTGGTTTTGCAGCTCTCACAGAAAATATCAGCTACCGAGTGGAGCCCCGTGAGCAAGAGGCGCTGTTCAGCTGGCCCGCAACCCACGTTGACCCTGTCTCAGGAAACAGGAAGGACCCAGCACCCAGTGGGATTGCACTGTCAGTCCAGTCCCCAGACAGCCCAAGGGAACTTCCAATTGGAGAGAACTGGACAGCCCCTGCCTTTGATAATTCACCCCTTTAAGACTAGAGCCTGGGCCTTCTTTTTCCAACGTTATGATTTCAATTCTCCCTGGGCTCCCCATGTGAGAACTTCAGACTGAGAACCCCTTTGCAAAAGGGGAGGCAAAGACTGAAGGCACAAGATCACCTTATGGATTCCCCCCTTTCTCCACAGGGAAATTACTCACTCACACATAAGCACAAGCACACGCACAAGGAAAGAGGTAGACTCACACGGAGTTAAACAGGTAGGCTCGGCCATGGCTCCCTTGGAAGGACTGTGGAGACATAGGACAGACAGTGACTACCAAGCAGCCCTCAGCCCCACTGCCTGAATCCCCGCAGGGGTGTGTGGGAGAGAGGAAGAGCTTCGCTGCCTCACCCCTGGGTGATGTTCAGGCTAGCCTGGTGCGCGAGAAGAGGGGAATGGCAGGTCCCCGCTTCACGTACCTTGGAAATAAGCTCATCGTGTTTGGCCAGGTGTGCACGGCAGTGGACACAGCTGTAAGTGCGGTGGCAGCGGGGCAGGTAACTGCGGAAAGTCTTGGTGGGGAGGCAGGCAGGGCCTGGACCGGGGTCACAGCTGGGCATGACGGGCTGGAGGACAATGCCCTGGCGGGCTGGAGGGGCTGGCGCCGTGCAGCCCCCGCAGAGACGGTCGCAGGTGAAGCAGCGGAGCAGGTTGGCTAGAGCCGTGTTTCAGGGCAGGAGAAGTGTTGGGGGGCTGCCCGGCGAGGGCCCCCCCAGACGAGAACCAGATAGAAATAGAAGTCACCTGGGAAGAGGGGAAAGGACATCAGGGGAGCCGTGACCTCAGGAGGGCCCCTCCTGAGGGAATGGAGGAAAAGGGGCTCAGCTCACCCGTACCTTTACTTCCCCCATCACCATCGATCCCCCCTCGGCATCCAGTTGCATTGTTGCCCTGTCCCCTGGATCCCCATCCTGCTCTGGCAAACCTGGCAGCCGATCCAGGCTTCTGTGTTTCTCCCTCCTGGGGCAGAAGCAGCCTCCACCATTTTCCACAGAGAGAAGCCCACGGGCACAGACGCTGCCATGGGAGCAACGTCATCTGCAAGTGCCCTCTCCTTGGTTTTCAGTTCTTCGTGAGGCTCTGCATCGCACAGGCATTGGTAGGCACTGTGTCTCCGGGGATCAGAGTCTTTTAAGAGTTGGGGATGCCTGAAGGTCTTTCTTTTACATGGCCTTTGTTTGCAATACAATTGATCCTTTATACATTTTGGCGGGGGAGGTGTAAGGTGAGGGGAGGAGGAGCATGCAGGCAGGTATACAAACCCTGATTCAGTTCTCTCCTGAGGTCAGGGTCCTGCACTCTGGGACTCTTCACTAGAACTTTATAGTTGTTTCCAGCAGTACCGAAGCCCTCACATGTGGCCGCCCATTCCCGCACCTTGGTTCACTCATTCTGGCCCAGAATAAGCACCTGCCTGTCTTCCCAGCCTCTGGGCCCCTTGGTCTTTCTCTTTCCTATTCTTTACTAACTGTTGCCTTAGCCCTTGGTTAAAGACTTAGGCAGAAAATACATTTTCTTCAGGCAATCTGACAGCTGGAGCCAATGGGAAATGGGTAGCGTGTCAGAGGAGCCTGATTCCTGGGCTGGGCAGGGCTGTGTGGTAGGGTGAGAGCAACGGCCACAACGAACAGCAGAAGGAGGACTCTTATTTTTAACAGCTGTGCTTTGGGGCACAAGGCAGAAAATGTTTCTACCTTCTCCCAGGGGGCAGGGACAAACAGCAGTGACTGTGGGTGACTGAAGATGAAGTAATTGCTGGGTTCTGATTAGGAATAGAGGAAGATTGCCTTCTGCCCACGCGCCAGCTTCCGAGTGGCTGAAGGTGCTGGAGGAGAGGATAAGAAGGGAGGTGGCCCCTGTGGGCTCCGATAAGCAGGTGAGCTGCTGCTTTCTGCTTCATAGAGCTCCCAGCCCGCTGTGGGTGGTTAGCCTAAGTCTGGTTCAGAGATGCCAGCTGGGCACTCTGGCAATGCTAGAGCACTAAGCAGAGGCGAGGCAGTGTTGGCTGCGGTTAGCCAGGGCATACAGACTGTCCTCGTCCTGTCCTCCGCAGTGGCCACAAGCACCCAGCTGTTCCACTCTCTGAAGGCCGCCAGGCAGTCTCTCCACAAAACCTCCATAGAGACTATCTTCAGTTTCAGGTCCTCTCCTCCTGGCTGGGCCCCAGGAAAACACCTTGGGCTGAGTTCAGGGTGACATTGGGCTCCGGCTGCAGGAAACGGGCCCTCCTTGCCAAGAGACCACCTTTCAGTCTCTGCTTCACAGGTCTGCCTTCAACTTTGCCTGCGAGTTCCCCTCTGACATGCACTACCTTGAAACACCTTCAAGGGGCATGGGGAACGGGGCAGCTTGGGTCCCCAATCTTGGGCTCCTTCTCCAGCCTCCAGCCGTCACGCCTCCCTCCCTCTCCCCTAATTCCCAGTCAAGCCAAGGAGAGGCTGCAAGGAAGGCCAGAGAATCACAGAAAGGGGAGTAGGGGTCATTTTTTCACCCATCTCGGATCACAGGGAGAAGCAAGTTGGGCAAATGACTGGAGAAAAAACAAAGGCAAGCCGAGTGCTGGGGAGAGATGTTCCCCTGAAGTGAGATGGGGCTGGACCGTGGGAGGAAGGGGAGAGGGAGGGCTGGCGGGGGCAACTGACAGCTGACAACAGAGGCGCCGAGGCAGAGGCTGGAGGAACCAGGTGCGAATCTCGTGCTTCTTAAGGGGGAAAGAAAGGGAGGGGGACACCTGCTCACAATGGATTTTCTCATCTGCTCTGAGGTTTTGGCACCCCCCGGGCTGGTATTCTCAGTATGGTATGGTCCAAATAATTAGCAGCACTGCCAGCTCCCAGGGCAGGCTTTGGGGGTCTGCACCAGCAGCAAAACAATAAACAGTAATGCCTGATGCTACAGCCAAAGTTGCCGGGAAATAAGTGCGGGAATCGTCAGAGCTTGGAGAGGGATGGAAGAACCGAGAGAGAGGAGCGGAGGCAGCAGGGAGGGGGAAGGGAGGACAAAGGGTGGATGAATAATGCTTTTGCAAAGGGGAGAAAGCAACACGCAGCAGAAGGAGGAAATTTGGCAAAGAGAAAAAAAATTCATTTGGAGAAGGGCTGCCCCCTCACCTTGAGGTCTGCTCCAGAGATCTCCGTCTATCTCTCTCTCTCTCTCTCAATCTCTCAATCTCTCTGCTCACTCTTCTCTCTTCTCTTTCCGCTCCTTCAATTGGGAAGGGGATGGGGGTGGGTGGGGGGAGGGTAGTTGGGGACTCAAGACTGGGGCTGCAAAGCTGGCCAGCTGCTGGGGGGGCAGAGGTTGTCTCTCGTTCTGTACCTCGGTCTGTGGGTGAATGTGGCTGTGTGTTGTGGAACTGCATCATAACACTGTGAGTCATCCATCCCCCCACCCCCCCTCACCTCCCACGTCAGAGCAGGGCTGGGAGACACAGGAGGCGGGTCGGAAGGAAGGGAGGGGGCAGGCATCAAAGGACGGGGCTAGAGGAGTGGGGGCCGAGGGACGCGGTGGCGATGGTGGGCAAGGGGAGAGGCAAGTTGTTAAGGAGGAAGGCAGTGTGGCCAAGGAGATAGGAAGAACCTGGGGGAAGACAGGGCTGGGCAAAGATGCAGTGAGGGTGGCAGGGCTGGAGGAAAGGAGGTGGCAAGGCTGGTGAAGGAAGATATGGATGCAGAGTGAGGCAGCACACACACATTTAAGATGATACACTTTCCCATTTCAGCTTGGACACCAGCCCTGAAGCAGGGAAAAGACAGATGTACTAATTGTCATGGATGGCAAACCGTGCCCCAAAACTTGTACCAAGCCTTAAAGCCTCAGTTTAATACTCCTGAAGGAGTCATAGACCCAATAGGACATTTTGCATGCAGAAACCTCTTAACAGCTACCTCCAAATTATGTGTGCTTCATGAATGGAGACACCTACATTATATGAAATTTTCTATTGGGCTGTAAACTTCCTGAGACAGGCCTTCTGGGAAATTCCTCTCTACATCCCAGGACCGCAATGCCTAGTACAGACCCATGCATTTAGATGTTTCCAAAATAGCAGTTGTTTCCGCGGCATTATGTTCTGCTGGCCTAGAGGTCTTAGTTCCAGAGGGAGGAACGCTGCCACCAAGAGACACAACAATGATTCCATTAAACTGGAAGTTAATATTGCCACCTGTCCACTTTGGGTTCTTCTTACCTTTAAGTCAACTAGCTAAGAAGGGAGTTACAGTGTTGGCTGGGGTAACTGACCCAGACTATCAAGATGAAATCAGTCTACTGCTCCACAATGGAGGTAAGGAAGTATGCATGGAATACAGGAGATCCCATAGGGTGTCTCTTAATATTACCATGCCCTGTGATTAAGGTCAATGGGAAACTACAACAGCCCAGTCCAGGCAGGATTACAAACAGCCCAGACCCTTCAGGAATCAAGGTTTGGGTCACTCCACCAGGTTAAAAAAACATAATCTGCTGAGGTGCTAGCTGAAGGCAAACGGAATACAGAATGGGTAGTCAAAGAAAGTAGTCATCAATACGAGCTATGACCACGTGACCAGTTGCAGAAATGAAGACTGTAATTGTCATGAGTATTGCCTCCTCCTTTTGTTAGGAACATGTTGGTGCATATATACACTTGTACTAAGAAAATATCTTCATTTTATTTCCTTTCTTTTGCCTTTATCATGTGACATAAGACTTACTGACTTGATATCAGCATTTAAGTGTTGTTACCTCTATGTAATAGCATTTGGGTTGGGGATTGGTGTGTTTCCGGTTGTACGAAGGATAGCTGTATTATGTTAAGCGCAATTATGACCTTATTATTGTCTTTATTTGAAGATTATGTATGATTTCAGGAGACGTGTATGGGTTCAAGTTGACAACGGGTGGACTTGTGATGGTTAATATTGTCAACTTGATTGGATTGAAAGATGCAAAGAATTGTTCCTGGGTGTGTCTCTGAGGGTATTGCCAAAGGTGATTAACATTTGAGTCAATGGATTGGGAAAGGCAGACCCATCCTCAATCTGGGTGGGCACGATCTAATCAACTGAGCCAGAATAAAAGCAGATAGAAGAACGTGGAAAGACCAGACTGGTTTAGCCTCTGAGCCTACATCTTTCTCCCATGCTGGACACTCCTTGCCCTCGAACATCGAACTCCAAGGTCTTCAACTTTGGGATTCGGACTGGCTTCCTTGCTCCTCAGCTTGCAGACAGCCTACTGTGGGACCGTACCTTGTGATCATGTGAGTCAATATTCTGTAATAACTCCGACTTATGTATACATCTATCCCATTAATTCTGTCCCTCTAGAGAACCCTGATTAACAGAGTGGTTGAGTTGCATCTTCAGACATGAACCAAGTGTCTGGCTTTGGCTTCAAAGAGACTGAATTAGAATCTTAGCTGTGCTAATTACTCGGCAGGAGCCACTAGGCAAATTACTGATACTCTTTGTGCCTTAGTCTTACTCTTCTGCTAAATGAAGTTAATAATATTTACCTCATGGAGATGTAAACTAAAGTGATATAACATTTAAATGCCTGAAAAGTGCCTGGCACATGATAGGCAGTAAACCCTAGTGTCATTTCAAAACAGCATTCTCGCCGGGCGCGGTGGCTCACGCCTGTAATCCCAGCACTTTGGGAGGCCGAGGCGGGCGGATCACAAGGTCAGGAGATCGAGACCATCCTGGCT